TCATAATATTGTCAAGCCTATATTGATAAACCCACTGTTTGTATGCAATTCCCCTCCTCACAATCATTATAACTTCTCCGCATGTGCATGTTAGAATGGCGTTTTCGTGCTGAAACCGTCGATGGTAGTCTGCGAAGTCGCCGTGCCCGGACCGTGCAGCTAGTAGATGTCCTAATGCGCGTCGCTCCAGATGGGCGAGCTCTATGGTTATTTTAGTATTAGGGCTATTACCTAATTTTTGTAACTAGAAGGTGCATTTTCTGCCCAATAGAGTGCTACGAAAGCCTCATGTTGAGCTTTGACTTCTCTCTTTGCCTTCGCAATGGAGAGTTCTGAGTGTTGAGCTGGAGCCGCACAGACAGCTTTAGCGAGAGCGTCGACAACTTCGTTTCCAAGAATACCTGCGTGGCCTGGGCACTATCGAACTGCTATTTCTCCAGGCGTCGTATTTTGGCCGCGTGAACTCCTTTTCCAGTTCACTGCGAGCTTGCGGACGTTAAGGATTTTTGCCGAGCTAGACGCTATGGGCCTTTCCAAGAGTAGACGGATGGCAGCCTCCTAGTTGTCGAGGCAGACAGTAACGTCAGAGACATAGTCGATCAATGGGTTGCGAAGAGCTGCGGCAAGACCTTCCGTGGCCCCGGCAATTTCAGCATCATAGACTTCTGCCAAGAATCCGAGCGGGAGAGATCCTCTCCCTATTTCCTGCGTAGGGCCGGGGTAAATGACATAACCCGCACCTGCTCGGTCTCTTATGAGAGCGCCATCTGAATATACGAATAGGTCTAGAATTAGTTGTTTAGCCTGCTATTATTTGAAGGACTTTGGTCCCAGGAGTCTACCTAATGCCCCAATTTGGATTAGATTTTCTTCACAGGGTGCGGACCATGGTGGGGGTATGGTGTCATCGGAAAGTTCTAACGGGATCCTCTGGCGGATCCAGCGCATGCGACTAGTATTTCAACGCCTATGGAGAGGGTGCTACAGGTCTACTGCCGCAGTTCAAACCGCTAGATGACTGTGAATTCGGGAGAGTCATGTCTGAGCTGGGCCCAGCTAGTTTCTCGTAGGAGTGGTGCTAATGGAGTGGTTCGATAGACTGGGAGAACTGCCCGAGCCGCATTGTTCATCCTGTGTTGGACTTGCGAGATGATCTTTTGAGAAGTCTCTTTAGACTACCAGGTCTGGGCCACGTAGAAGAGGGTCGCAAATGCGGCACCTTGTAGAGCTTTTCGTGGAAATGGAGAGCCAATCCCTCGAGTCGACATTGAGAGTCTTTTCAAATGGCTGGTGATAGCTAGAGACTTTCGGCAAGGCTGTAGGGTACGAATTTGGAACCGTAGAACCCGTTCGAATAAGATTCCGAGACAGCGAGTGTGATCATTTGGCGTTATAGTTGTCTCTCCAATATTTAGAGTAGGCTCTGTAGTGAGCCTCGCTTCCGGTGAAAGTATTGGAGCTCAGTCTCAGGATGTTCGAAGCCTATTCCGTTAGTCAGTCCCCATGCTATGGTGCTGTCTAATTTCTCCTAGAGCTTGCGTGCACATTCGATAGGAGAAGAACCAGACGCAAAGAGGGCAATATCATACGTCGGGTAGTTTAGTTTAGACTGGGCTAGCCGGTACGTGAGGAGCTCACGTGCTGTGCGCGGGCACGACGTTAAATATTATAAATGAATAAAACAATGAAATCTTCATGCTCTATCACTATACCATGATTCAGGCCCCGGGGAGAAATTTTTAATCATGTAATATTATATGTATATGGCGCGGATGCGATACCTAGCGCTGCTTTGAGTGTATATTAAGGGTTCGGCATCTCTTTTCAGGGAGCAGCGAGGGCGAGGCCTCCAGGGCGGTAAACACTGGTTTCTATGTCTAGTGTTAAGTAGGTAGCAAGGACCAAAGTTTCAGCTTTGTGTCCTACTTGACGCTAAATAATAAAATGATCGATCTCTCTTCATTGTAACACTTGGGGCAAGTTTGATATCATCCATAATCGCCGTATCGGGTGCTTAATACCCTCCAGAAATCCATGTGATGGCTTTTCCTCCATGACTAAAGTTTGGTGGTAATAAGGGCTTCGAGCCAACCATCTGACCTGATCATTGTGGGATTCATTGTAACCATCGTAGTGGCTGTGCTGAGAGATGAAGAAGATACAGACTTTGAGAGCGATTGAGAATTTTCGTGTGAGTAAAGACGAATCTATTACAATTTCGGTTCTGCAGACCCTGCAGTGAGAGCTGGAGGTTCGTAGGGATCACCATTCAAGGTGTTGAGTTTCGCCCCCATGAAGATACGTGTATGTAAACTGTCTGGGAATTACCAAAAAAGAATAATTAATTCAATTCATTCTTCCGTTTAGAAGTTCTATTCCCATTGTTTATCCCAAATGCTTCCGATTAATGTCAATATCTTTCAAATTCGAAGTGGGCACAAGGGGCTCAATTCGTATTTATACAGAAGAAAAGTACCCGGAGTCTACAGTCCAAACTGTTCGTATGGCTACGAATCGCAGAACCCCAAGCATATCATTATCATCCTGCCCCCGATGCTCAAATGGAAGAAAAGAGATTTGGAGAAAAGCTAAAGATCGCTTCTGCGGAGCTATGATTAATAATCCTGGCGACATCAAAAGGATTATATAGTGGATCTGTTAGAATTTAGAATAATTGGGGCTATCAAGTAGGCCACGTTGTTGTCACAAGTGACTACAAATTATGTGCTTAGTTTCACTTCGGTAGTGACTTGAATCAATGCGCTCTACAACCTCAATGACTGAGGGGTCATCATTTCCTGAACAGGATCCCAAATTATGGATTGATGGTGCGATTCCAGATGACATGGGCGCGCAAAATACTTCAGGAGGAAAGAAACAGGTCATGCCTTTCTTGAGGTTGATAGACATGATGTGATTGGTTTACGTGGAGGGAATTATAGTGTAACTACGCTTCCTGAAGGATACGTTAGAAAATTAAGACAAAAAGCAGGGAGGTTTAGGGGGGTTTCCACCAGACGGTTCCCTCCTATGTAAATATTACAGTTCATAGACACCTGCATGGGCCCATAGGGCGCCAAATCAAGACAATTAAATCAAATTGAAAAATACCCCTTTCAAGAATATATCCACCCTCTGTATCGCCGTGCCTAATTGTCCTGTTAACTCCCACGTTCGCACGGAATATCTGCCTTCCAGATTTATGCGCTACGGGTTATTTCTTTCAGCAGGTGAAGATATAGTCGCGGGCGTGTTTCTGGAGGCCAATTAAGGCTAGAAGTTTATTTGGTGAGAGGTGTTGTCATTGAAATGAGGATGTATTGGGCCGCACTTATTAGCTTGACGAGGATTTTGCGGAAATCAAATCCTCTAATAGTGGTAAATTGGCATCATAGAGTATTCAGTCAATGCCTCGTAGGCCAACTTTTTTTGGTAATGCGGAAGTTGGCTGAACTTGTCTCTAGAAGAATATATTAGCCCCAGATCCGTAAAGGGTATCGCGGACAGGTGTTCAGTCCTTGCCTTCCAACTTGAGAGCTTGACCCGCATATTCAGTGTGTGACATAATGTTTAACATAGATGGGAGACACTTTTTTAGATGCCCCCCAATAGATACACAGAGTCCGTACGTGATCGAATTTTGTAAGTAGTCACACTCGACTGAAATTTATACCAAAGAAACCAATAGAGCAGGTTGCTTTTAGATGAATTATATCTTCTTAATCACAAGTGAAATGGTAGGTTTATCAAAGCTACAAATCTCGTTTAGCAGATAAGAAAAAACAGTTCTAGCAAAAGAGGTTAATGCTCTGGTATGAGTCCTGCTAAAGCTTCCAACTTATGCCATAAAAATTTTCTTCGGTTAGGACATTAGGCCTCTTCAATTTATTGTTGTCAGCAAACCGAAAGACTTCAAAAGAATAGAGTGAGTGAGTGAGTTAGTGTTTATTGTACTACTCGAGTCATAGACTATCTAGCACATCGGGCTCCTTTCTGACCCAGGCCACGCCTTTTACGGTGCTCCTTGCCTTTTATGTTACCTGAATGATCTTTGAAATATTGCCAATCAAACGAGCACAAATATTGTGTTGGAAATGCCATGTTTGTATGTCGTTACCCCGCTTCAACTATCATGCACGGGCCATCAATATTCATGCTATCTGCTAGTTTACCTCACTGTCTCTGTCATATCGTGATACTCAAACCCGTACTCAATAAATTTCAATTGACAGTAGCTGTTGATTCAAATAATTCGATTTAACGCACTGCACATTTCGTACGCCGAAATTCCCAAGAGAGACAGGTGTCTGCAGCTGTTATGAGCCTACATGAATGAGAGTAGGATCCTTTTTGTCGATCGTTCGACGTTTAATTACAAAATTCTGAATCGAGTAACTGCCATTTCTACCTAGCCTGTGCTTGCTTACAACGTGGGCTCGTGTTTGTATCATCCGCAATACGAGTTGTGCTCAAAGAATCCTGTTAGGGATGAAGTTCCGTGAGGAAAACATGATAAATCGTGGACAACAGCTGAGCCTTAAACTTACGATGGAAGTTGAGTAAGCACAATAACCCGAATTATTAGCAATAGGGCCGAGAGGCATTAGAGCACATAAAATTCCCAGACAACTGAATGGAATTATTTGTATAACTTGAATTATTATTACCTCCCGATTACAATAACTGTGCCTTGACATGCACAACTACTTGGGATGTTTCTTTTACAAAATCGTCTGCACGTCCAAGGACTTATTTCATTCCGACCAGTTGATCGTACCAGCTTCAAAATCTAGCAACCATAGCTAAGAGAGACGCAACCCATAATGTCAAAACCCCGTACCGGACATATTACATGCTTTAAGAAGTACTGAAATAAAATAGACCGCAATTCTTCGGACATTCCGAAGAGGGAAAGAAATAGCTTTAGCACTTACTCATTAATGTCCCGGCCAAAACGCTTGCTGAGCCAAGGAAATATATATATTACACCGAGCGCCATATTACAACTTGGCTTTCATTGATTCTTCGGCTAATGCTTCTGCATACATTGTGTCAATCTGCGGACGGTATTTCTTTGCTGTTTGAGGACGTTTAAGCTTGAGACTAGGAACAAGAATTAGAAAAGAATTATGTCAAAGGCTCGGTGCTAGGATTGGGCTTGGGGTCTTACGTGGGGGTCAGAAGATCGTTCGCAATACTGAATGGTTCAACTTCGAGCCATACACTACGAACCCTTTCATATGAGTTGAATTTGTTTTTCTTGCCAATAATGTCAAGCTCCCTGATGACAGCACGCCGCACTTGATCTGTACGAGCCGCTGATTTTATAGAATCGAGATCGGTAACAGCTATTGATTTGTTAAGAACTTTACCAGCGAATGGGGCGAAAGCGACTGGATCTATTCCGCATACACACACGAGGAATGCTTGTGTTGAATCACCATGTACGTAAGCTTGTGTCAACAAGTTTGTACTACCCAGATAAACATTTTCGATACGCTCTGGTGAGATATATTCGCCCTGAGCAAGTTTTAAGACATTTTTTAATCGGTCAATAATTTTTACACGACCCATGCTGTCAATTTCTGCAATGTCGCCAGTTCTAAAGAATCCATCGCTTAATATGGCGCTTCCAGTCTCGGAAGGGTTCTTATAGTATTCGCGAAAGAGAGCGTTGCCTCTTAGAAGGAGTTCACCTCGGGGATTTGGTGAGTCTGTTACTAAATATTCCATATCTGGGACTGATTGTAAACATGCCTCCATTGATGGAGCTACCATGCCGCAGTTACCCACGCTCAGGTCATTTTCATGCTGGTATGTGCCCATCGCGTATGTCTCGGTTAACCCGTATCCCTGGATAAATGTATTTCCAAAAGCAGCTCGAAGAAGTTGGTGTAAATTTGGGTCAAGGGGTGCTGAGCCCGAAACCATCGTCTTGGCACGCTGAAGTCCAAAAGCACTGCGGAGCTTGTGTGCGAAAAAGTAGTCGTAGAAGAGGTGTTTATTCGTGGCCTGACCAGGAGGTAGCTTTAGCTTTGCAAGTTTGGTGTTGATAATGTGACGTGCTACGGCACCCTTAAGTCCAGTTGCGTCTGTAGTCTCGGCACGAATTGCAGAACCAAACCTATTGTAGAGGCGCGGTACACTTATAAACCCTGCAGGCCGCAATAACTTTATGTCTTCGATCAACTTGAATATGTCTCCATGGAAGTATCCAATGGCAGATCCCACACTAAAACACCCTTGTTCGGCTACCCGCTGATAGATGTGTGCGAGAGGAAGGTACGAGATGACGACGTCAGAGGGCGAAGATTCAGCGAGAACGCGTCCACAGGAGGCACCAGCAATAGCATTTCTGTGGGTCAGGATGACTCCCTTTGGAATCCCCGAAGTGCCTGATGTGTAATTTATGGTGATAATATCTTCTGCTCGCGGAGGATTCATGGATAGCCCGGAGACTGCCCCCAACTGTTCTACCTCTTTCATAGAATGAATTGTGATTCCAGCATCTCGTGCAATGGCATTTAGTATATCTGCTTTGGAATTTCCTGGCCTCTCACCAGCATCAATGGGATCCAAGCATATTATTATCTTCAGTGTTGGGATGCGAGGAGCCAACTTCAACAAAGTTGGTACGTGTACAAGGGAAGATATAACACAGACAATTTCAGCGTGATTGATTATGTGCTCTGTTGCTTCTGGGCCCAGTGTATCATAAATTGACACTGTGTAGAGCGATTGCGACATACACCCTAGGTCTGCAATTAATTAGTATGTTTCATATCAGTTATGTGTACCTTTCCCGATAAACTTACCTGCGATCTGCCATTCTGGTCGGTTTTGGCACCATAACCCAATGCCGTATTTGGGAGTCGTTACGCCGGCCTTTCGATGTAGTTCCACTAAACCCTTACCAAAATTCTCTCTCCTTGCTGCGACTTCACCATATGTCATCCATTCGAATTGTCCAAATGTCTGGGATGCTGCGTCCCAAGGTCGACTCCCAAGACAGCGATAGTTAGACCGTTTTTTCAAGGATGCTTCAAATGAATCGTGAACAGTAAGAATCTTAGGATCAAGAGTTTCTAGAAGTGGTTTGTCTACAAACTGCCAGTGACGGTAGATCGGCGTGCGGTTTTCTTTTTCACTACCAGGAACTGGAAGGGAGTATGGAGTTCCGGCTGGTGGTGGGGTCTTGAGGATTCGCACATAGGCATCGCCGGTAGGAGCGGGTGCCATTGGTTCACAAAATAAACGTGAAGCTCCCAATTGCTAGTAATTAATAACTAGAGCGTTCAAATTTAGTTTTAGGTGCTCTAGAACGCTGAACCTACTTTAAATTTGAAAATTTTGGGACAGGAGGTATTATGTATCTATGTGAATCTGAAGCAGAATATATGGCTCCGTATTTAATTAGAGCGAAGCACAGAGAAGAGAGATAGGTAAAGTTGTGGAGGGCGTCTAGGATTTATTGAAGCATTTGTAGTGGCTAGTGAAAAAGACGAATGATACGAAGTTTGTCGAGGAGGTCACTGGTGGATTAAGGGAACTATTTGTTTAATGCGCGACGGAGAAGGCGGAGCATGTGTTGTGACTATTTTGGATGGATAGAGACAAGGGGGGTCGGTGAAGTCGGCAAAGCGAGACGGGGGAAATAGAAAGCCACAACGGCAGAATACGCCCAAATTCAACCGTTCAGGTTTCTAGAGGGAAGGGGAATTCAGCCGAGGCAATCTGGGGTGGGGTGGGAGGGAGAAGGGGATTAGCGTGCACAACCCCCCACTTAGGACTTCGAGACACGATGCCATAAGGAGCTTAGCCCTATGAGGTTAGGACTTTGACTAGACGGTATAGTGCTTTCTTCTATTGCTACATTCCTCAGGTTCGGTTTGACAGCGCCATCAGATGAGCAAAGTGCAGCTCTCTCTAGTTGCGAGGCGACCTGTCCAAGCACACACGTTGCGCGATGGATTCCTTATCGTTTGCTTGCTCCATGGATTTATTTCTGTGTTTTTCAGTGCATCCATCCATCTACAAACAAACGAATCTGCCAGATGCACGCAAGACGCATGAGTTTGTGTCAGCAAACGTTCGTAACCCCCGCCAGCGACGATGCGCCGGAGCGTCAGACCCTCCTACACCTTCTCGCGTTCTCCCCGAGTCAGTAGTGTCAAGAGCTAGAGCATCCTCTCCCCTATCTAGCACTCAGCTTTCGGGGGGAATGGCACGGGTGATCGCAATTTAGTATGGTACCCTGATTCTTGCATACGCACAAGCTAAGCACATTACGACTACGTATATGTGCCTAGCTAAGTCCAAGCATTTTCGCCTCGCACTGTTAGTTCGGCGTTGGGCGGAGAAGTTCTCCTAGAATGTCTCTCCCACTCCTCAGCATAGTCAGCGTCTAAGACGCCCAGATGAATTCGAGTAGTCGATAAGCACAAGTAGCAATTAGCTAATCCTTGATTGGTTGGATTAGTTTAGCCGAGATCGTCGTCGGAGATGGTTGTTTCTCTCCTAGCATGAAGGGGATGAAGAAGAAGAAAAAGAAGGAGTTAACTATTCGTCATCACGACCTCAACTATGACAAGGTTCAAATCTTCATAAAACCCAACTTATCCTTTTCATTGCATTGGCCTAAAGCACAATTCACAATACAGCCACAGGAATAGTTCCGTAGAGATCAACACTGATATGGGTGGCGTAAGTGGGGGTGGAAAATACAGATGGTGGCCGTTGATGAGTCGATATGAAGTCTATAACCTGGATTTTGTCTATTTTAGGTTTGGCGGGACGATCATCAACGAATTGTTCCACAGCTCAATGCTCATGTCAAATTTGTCTCGATGCATCCGTTTAAGCGAAGACACCGTGCTGGCGGATCAGCTGATTTAGCGGAGATTTCAACATGAAATAAGAGTTATGGAGAGGCTATGACGATTATCTTAGTCATCTTTGAGTACCAAATGCGTGAAATAGTCTTTCAAATCATACAAATAGAAATACTACGATTATCATGTTCAGTGTCGGACGGCACAAGTCTGTCAGCGCACACCACCCAGCAATAAGTGAATCGAAAAAATAGTCCCTTCGCAGGTATTGGGCTGTGTCTAAAATCCAGAATTAATTGTAGGAGAGAGGGGTCAAATAAAAAGAGAGTATATACACGATCAATGACTTAACTCGGCCCTGAAGCTGCTGTGAAATGATCAGCCTAATCGATGTTCCCACATTACTTGTGACACTTTCGCACACATTTTCAAGATCTGGTATACTCGGACCTAGACACCCTAAGAAAGCTTACTGCCACAGGGATCTATCGTACTAAACCTCCGTTTAGAAACTAACAATACCCGCGAAGGGACACTACCGAGAAAACGCCCCTACAACCGGAGTTATGGACGAAACTTCGGCGGCAACATCGTACTTTTAAAATCCGGAGAACGTGCAAAGGCATTATCGATATGACCGTGGCAATTCAACCACTAAGCAAAATCTAGTGGTTGAACGGGACTTATGATCAGCTCACCTTATCACAAGACATTTTGTGCATCGAAGGTGCGCAAATGTGGTAACTCGACCGCCAATAACCGCATACAAAGAAAGTGTGGTAAACATGTGTCAAAAATAATCACCGGAACCAATTTGATTGACTTACATCATTCTCCGCCTGCTACTTTCGAACCCGAATTTAGACGAACGTTTTATATAATCACTTAGAAATTGTCCAATGGTTAATTAATATTCAGGTTGTAAAACCAATTATGAATGATTACGTGCATATCGCCGAGTCGGCGCTACATAGGCAAGCATTTGCACCTCGTTTCTGCAGCTAAAATTTGGGGAATATAAGCGTATCAGGCAGCATTAAGTTGTCCAATGGATTACTAGACACAACAAATAGCACCCGCCTAAGGCAGGAGTTGAAATGAGCAATAATATTATTTTATTTACTTATTTTTTATGTCTACCGGGCACTAGTTACAAATAAAGCCCCATCCCTGAAGGGACATGGTGACAATGAGCAACAATAGAAAACGAAATGATTAAGTTAACCATATGCTTTTTCATGTGAGCATCCAACATGAATCATGATGCCCCAATATTGTCATAGACTTATCAGGATATAAAAATAAGACAAAAAGCATAAAATTCATGAATCTAGATGGCTGTCTCCTGACGTAAATTCTTCACAAGCTCCCAGGTTTGAATATTCTCGAGATATTAACCATGACAAAGTATTTCCCGGAACAACTGTAAAACATCCTGATGCTATGAGATGAAATTAAGAAATAAAGAATAGAATAAATCCCGATATATTTCAAAACCTAATAACGTTAGATTCGAGACCTCTTCAACCGAGAAAAAAATATCTAATAACGAATACCAAGATCAGCATTAAATGTTTAATACTGTTGAAATTTAGAATAATTGGGGCTATCAAGTAGGCCAAGTTGTTGATACACACGTGACTACAAATTCTGTGCTTAGTTTCACTTCGGTAGTGACTTTAATCAATGCGCTCTACAACCTCAATGACTGAGGGGTTATTATTTCCTGAATAAATACTTTAATTTATACCTGAATACTGTGTCAAGACATATATGTTTTTTCAACTTGCCATCTTTAAGTTTCCACGCCCCAATCATGCAGTGATAGAATGATAGTCTTAATTGTAAGCCTCCCTCAATTGGTCATTCCTGAGCAAATCACCTTTGTTACCAATGATTTGAGTAGTCCTGGAAGGGCTCTAGTAAATTCTGAGTGACAAAAATGAATCCGGGGGTTTTCGTAAACTAGCCCGTGCAGACTGCCCTTCTTTGCTAGAAAAAACACGGGCATTTGTTAACGTGAATCACTTTCGCGTAAGCATGCACATTTCTTCCACACATTACATACTTCGGGAAGCCCACGCACATTACTGATCAGTTGTCGCCTGTATCAGCCCATTTGTCATTGCGATCAGGGAATCTAGCTGCGAGAATATTTCTATAGTTGTTGTGTGGTTAAAATTAAACCTTCATGCTCGAGTGACGAACAATGTGACCTTTTTATTGCGGGTATTTTTCTAAGGATTACTCACTCACCATATCTATCTTAGTCATAGATATTGATGTATAAATCGAAGCAAACTTATTAGACTCGTAGCCGGTAGATTTGTTATCTCGTCAACGGAATTCGAAATTGTTACTTTTTGACACCTCTACAGAGCCCTGGAGCGAGTGCAGGCGATACTTTAAACACCGCCACAGTTTGAATGTGACTTATTAATCACCTGGTCCGGTCTCGTAAATAGATTCTAGATAGCCTGGACACAGATCCAACTTGAGACAATAAATGACTGGTTCGAATCCGACAAAACTCAACCACATTTCTCGCGGTGCAAGTTTACATGGATGACGAAGGCATTCCTGGATAACCAAAGGTTTTGAATTTCCCTTTGGTAGGTTCCCATGGAAGGTGGTCGACTGTTTGTATAAGCAAGCAAACCTCATAGTGGTATTTGCAAATGAAATCCAGAATATGAGTGTCTCTAACGTCAAAGAGATATCTAATATGTACACATAACACTAATCATATTTCATAGTCAGACGCTAGTTTGATGGGCTAGGACTTTCGGCTAATACACGAAAGCAATGCCACAATTATATGTTTATATTTTCTATGAGGAATTTGGGAGCGGGAAGGGGGACTATTCTCAACACCTATCAGTGGTGTCCCCTACGAACCTCCAGATCTCACTGTAGAGTCTACAGGGCCGAGATTGAGTAACGAAATCCTCACTTCGACGAGGGTTCCCAATCGCTTTCGCGGTCTGTATCGTCTTCACCCCAAGTCAACCCCCATCCGTGAATACCCACCCAGGGGAACATCTCAAAAACCTTGAGTTATCCAGACATGCCTCCACCGTCCATTGAATATTCTCCGCGCGAAATGTGATCTAAGATTTATTCTTTAATTATCTGTACTGGTTGTTTCGGGCTAGGCCCGGTTGCTTATGGCCGGGCTGTTTAAGCCTATAGGGCCCATCCTTATCTTGTGGGCGCAAGCGAGGTTGTAAATCTACTCACTATAAGGGAGTATTTTTATATCACGTGCAAAGGGACAGGGTGAAGTTCCTGATGGATTAGTATGTGTGAAAAGTGAGATTAGCTTTAAGATGGCGTAGGTTACGGGTGTCTCGTGGCTCCAATCTACCAATATGTATAGTAGAGCTTAAGACTAGATGTAACTTGGTT